TTATTCCAGTGCTCACACACAGAATCAGACGAAGTGGGAGGAGCGCAAGGTGACGTCATTGGAAGAAGCCTTCACGAAGCTTGTGGACATGAACGCTTTAGTTGCTCGGCCGGCTAATGATACGAAGAAGAATCCATTTGATCATATTCTAAATCCACCCAAGGTTGGTTTTTTACACGCTGTCCATCTCTAGCCTGTGCTTGGTATTAGTCATGTCAGCTGAACTATACCTCTGACGTGCAAATGGTGGAAATCGCAACTATGGATAGTTGCGATTTTTAGTCGCTAAATAAATTTATCAAAATTTATGGTGCTGCCATAATATCGAATCAATATAGCATACAGGAGACCGCAAAACAGCATTTACTGTATGTTTCCAACTGCATGGCGCTGGAAAACCGCCGATGGATTCGATATCATTTTACACCGAATGTTTGCGAGCCTGGGCCATTCGATAGTTGCCATCAGTTTCGTTCGTCTTCCGACCTTTGACATCTTTTGTATTTTAAGGCAATGGTACGTTGGGTAAAAAGGGAAGTCTTTCAAGGCAAGGCCGCGCTTTTCAAAACGGTTTCTTGCATATTGTAGGGACGCATGTAGGGAACACAAAACCATGTTTCATTTTCGCTGAACGGTTTAGCAGTACCAAAAAAGAAGCATAAGGTACTGTTAATGGTTCGATCCCCGTGGCGACTAAATTTTGCATTTGGGTTGGCGCCTACGGTTGGTGCCAAATCGCGCTAAATGTCAAAATCAGATGTCATATTCATGGTCAGGACCATTTTGAAGGACTAACCATAAGCCTATGAGGGGCAGGGATTCCGGGGAAAATAAAAATGTCTGGCGCACCCTGGATTCATTCCTCACCCGCCTAAGGCTTAGACCTGTTTTCTTCGAATAAAGGACATTTTATCGATTCCAAATGTATTGCCATCACAGTGCCCCCGTATCTTGCGATAGCTAAATTATCCAATGGTAGCCAGTTGAACGCACAATTTCATTATAACCAAAAACACTAGTTTTTTCATGAAAAG